AGGGGCCAGTATAGTGAAGCAGTTTTTAAGAGTTTGGATTCAGACTACATGAGTGTAAGTTCTGGTTCTACCATTACCAGCTTAGTCACGGTGAGTTACCTGCCTTCCTTAGGCCTCAGTTTCCTCGTGTAAGATGGAGATCTTGAGGATAGGAGAATTTTTCTTAAAAAGTAGTAGCTAATACTAGAGTTTGGGAGGCTACTGTCGGGAGGTGGGGCGGGGCAGGTCCTGAAGGGGCTGAGGCAGGCTGGGGGGGGGTGGGGGCGGGGCAGTGATGTTCCATTTCTTACCTGGCTGGGGCGTTTTGGTCTGTGAAGCCGCACACGTGTCCAGGCGCTTTTCTGTTCTGTTACTTTTCAGTTAAAGGTTGAAGCAGCAGACATCTCTTGTCTCTTACATGTATGTGCCTGGCATCGTTCTGGGTGCTGTGCTCGCCTCGGTGTCCCCTTCCTTGGGTGCAGCGCAACAACAGCAGCCACTTTCCAAGGCCGCTGTGAGGATGACGTGAGGGCACAGGCTTTCAGGGAGTGCGCAGCAGTAGGTGGGATTGACTGCCCTGTCGCTGTAGCCTGCCAGGTGGTGGTGGGGGCAGGACCAGGACTTGCCTCGCACGCCGGGACTCCAGACACTACCCTCTGGGGCCTCCTTCAGCCACAGCTTGGCTGCTCTGGCCACACACAGTCCAGCCTGTGCGTCCTCTGGGGCCCAAGCAAGGCCACTCGGGGGAAACTGTAGAGCAGGGGTCCTGGGGAAGCAGTCGGGCCCCTGCTTCCTGGGTGGAGCGAGCTGTCGCCTCTGTGTGCTGGACGCACGAAAATCAGCAGTAGCTCCATTTATAGCACGGACAGTCCGTGGATGACGCGATGGCACCGCCTGCTTCCACGTAGTACAAAGTTCAAACAAGCATGAAGCTGTGGAAATAGTCACAGCCTCTTGCTTGGATTTATGGGATGAACCACAACCTGTCATCAGAGAATTAATTATTCCCACAGCACCCTTTTAGGTGTTCTGGGAATAATTAATTGCCATGTTTATGTACTTAAGTGATTTGTGTACCACCTTTGTGATTTTTGCCATATCACAAAAATCATTTAGTCATTTTAAAATTTAGATGTATTTGAAATGTTTTCCAAAAGGGAACTAAATCATTAACATAAGTGAGAAACTTTGCCATGCATTGAAGGTAACTAAGAAATGCACATATTCATCAATGTCCCTCCCAACATCACCTGCGTGGTGTGTACACCAAGGAGCAAGGCCATTGAGGGTCTCGTCCAGGTCCTCCACTGAGGAGCTGGCTGGAAGACCAGGCTCTTGCCTGACCCCCGATCCAGTGCTCCCATCTTCCGCATTCCCGCTGACTGCTGGCAGTGGGGGTTAAATTCAGTGCCTCACATTGAGTTATGTTCCATCTCTTACTGTGCTTACAATAGCACAAGTGGTGAGATAACCCGTTCTCTTCCCCACGTACCCCCAAAGGTGGGAAAAGTAGCTAAAGTGGTAGGAAATTAGTAGCATAGTCCCCTTAAAGTCATGCTTTTATTTATTTAAAATCATTTTTTAATTTATTGATTTTAGAGATAGAGAGGAAAGGTGGGGGAAGAAACATTGATTTGTTGTTCCACTTACGAATTTATTGGCTGATTCTTGTATGTTCCTTGACCAGGGATTGAACCTACAACCTTGGTGTTCAGGATGATGCTCTAAACAACTTGAGCTACCTGGCCTGGGTTTAAGGTCATGCTTTCAGATGACTGGAGCGGCCTTGGTTTTGTTGGAATAGTCTGGCTTCAGTGGCCTGTGCCATTAACTGAGAACGTACCCTACTTCCCTTGAGCAGCTACTGTTCAGAATGGTTGATCACAGTGTGAGGTGTACTGTGAATTACTGGGTTTTAAGTCCTCAAGCAGTGGAGTATGGTAAAAGGAGTATTTAGTGGGTGGAGGAAAGGCAGGTCACCTGGTGCCGTGGTTACAGACGTGAGTCAGGCAGTCCTGGGCTTAGGCACCGTTTTTTTTTGCCACTTATGAGATGTGTGACTTTGGACAGGCCACTCAGGTTCTCTGAGCCTCGCTTTTCCTTATCTTAAAAATGGAAATAATAATACCAGCCTCCTGGAGAGTCATTGTAAGGAATAAAGGAGATACCGTGTTTAAAATGCCAGCAGTCGCTCTGGCCTGTGTGGCTCAGTTGGTTGGAGCGTCATCCCTTAACCAAAAGGTTATGGGTTTGATTCCTGGACAGGGCACATACTGTGGGTTGTGGGTGGCTCCTGGTCAGGGAGCGCGCAGGAGGCAACAAGTTGATGCTTCTTTCACGTCAGCATTTCCCTCTCTCCCTCTCTCTCTAAAAAGGTGAGGAAAGTAAATAAATAATAAATCTCCTGGCAGGGTGCCTAGCACATAGTAAGTAAGCACTCGTTAAATTTCAACTGGCGATTTCAGTAGACAGTATCATTTCTTGGAAGTAGTTTACATTTGTGTGAAGGGAAAAATGCATTGTTTTTATGGTATATTGTAGAATGTAGTACCAGTGTGAAGTATGGCACAGTTGTGTGGTATTAATGTTGAACTTGCAGCTGACATTTAACTAGCCAGGGTTTAAATGCAGCCTGTTGACTGCAGAGCCACACCTCTTACCGCTATCAGAAATTTCCCGAATTGCCCCGGAGCCAGCATGATTTAAGAACAAGTCTGAAAGCTTCGGTCACATTCTGGAAGGACGCTTATTGCTACATTACTGATACAGTCAACTAGGAGCAGGAAACTATTGTAACACCTTTAAGCGCCTAGGCTTTGGGGGAAGACAAGGGCCATGGCCTCAGGAGTAACATTCTAGCTACCTTTGCAGGAAGGCAGAAGGTCTGGAAGCCAAAATGCATTGTGGGAAAGGAGCAGGGAGGGGCCTAATGCCTGAGGCCCCTCCCTGCACACTGTTGGGACACTCTACTGTAGTCATGCCTTTTTTTCTCTGTGTCTCGGGGTCATTGTCACTGTCTTCCTGAATATGTTTTGGTGTGTCCTTAAAAACAACGAGGCTGGTAATCTCGGGAACCCTCATACCCGCCAGTCAGTTCATTGCTGGTCAGTTCATCGGGGCAGACTAAAGGGTCTCCGTGGGGCAGATGCCCCTGCAGGGGTCTCCCCTTCTTCACCCACCTGCTCTACCAGCTGAGCCCTTGCTTTTGCATCTTTAGTAGGGAGCTGCCCTCTGCCACCTTATCCAAAACAAGCGTGGGAGCAAGGTTGCAAGTGGGTGGTAGGGTGATGTTAGGTGAGATGTATATGGCATTTTGTTTAAGAGCAGATGACCACTTGCCCTGAGAGATTTATGTGGATATAGGAGGTGGGGGTTTTTATCAGCAGTCTAGCTTAGTATTTTAAGTATTTACCTAAAATAGCATTTTTAAACAAGCAATTATCTAGGCTACTGCCATCTCTAGACAGGGATCGGCAGACTTTTTCTTCAAAGGTCCAGGTAGTAAGTTCATGTGCACATTATATGGCCCCTATGCAACTCCTTAACGATAATGAGTGGGCGTGGCGCTCTCTGATCAAGCTTTCCTCAGAAAAGCAGGCAGTTCACACACCATCACCCCCCCCCCCCCCCCGCCTTAGAACACACCTGTTCCTTCCACTCCAGTGGTGTTAACCCCTCTCTCTGTCAGCCTCACCCCTGCCGAGCTTGCTCCCACCGCAGGGCCTTTGTACAGACCACTTCTCCTGCCTGGACAGCTCCTGCTCCTCACTTAGGTCCCCGGTCACGTGTTGCCCCAGAGTGGCTCTCCTGAGCACACTCTGCATGTCCTCATCTTCTGTCACCAGTGTCATGCTTGCTGCTGGCTGAAATGATCACTTTATCGTGTGCCTGTGACTCCCCAGCAACTGCCGACTCCAGAGAGTCGGGGTTGATTACTCTTGTTCACCGCAGGCGCCCTGGTGCCTGGAACAGCCCAGCACACAGTCGGCGGCCAGCATTTCCTGGGTGAACTGCCTGGGTTTGCAGCCCTGGTCTTTGGGAAGTGCCTCTCGGTGCACACAGCTCTTCTCTTTCCGAGACTGTGAACCAGGTGGTATCACACCCAGAGGACTGTAAGTAGAGAAGAAAGGGACTCGCCCCACATCACAGAACCAGTAAAAGGAAGGGACAAGACCCGGCCCGCGGTACCTGGCGTTTAAATCTTGCCCTGGGTTTTTAAGATTATCTTTGGTTGTTTGTTTAAGGTAATTTATCTTTGTGTTGGTCCCAGAAGGTCTCAGACTTTCGGGAAAATTGGGACAAACTCAGAACTACCATCAAAGACTGTGCTTTTGATTAAATCAAAGTGTTCATTTATATGAAGGTCACATTTACTTTCCCATTGAGAACAAAGCAGATAAGTTCTACATAGCATTTGTTTCTGGGGGGAATTTTTTCATAGTAACTGATGGTAGTGTGAACAGGGAAGTCTCTCGGGGAGGCGCTCGCTCGCTCCAGGGCGCGGCTCCGGCCGCACTGCCTGGGCAGACGGTCCTCGGCCCCGCTGTGCAGACACTGCCAGCCGGGAGCAGCCTAGTCTGCGTGTCTCTGCGGTTGGAGCGGCACTTCTGGAGACGCCGAGGTTGATAGGATGATGCGGCCCCACAGAGGTGTCACCTTTGAACAAACGCTGCCTTGGAAATATTGTCAGGGAATTTGGTTTCTGAAGGAATCCTGTGGTAAAACCTTCGGAGCTATGTCTTTATAATGTCAGCCTGCTGTTTTATTCAGATGCAGTGTACCTGCATTTTAAGTGATGACTTAAAAATACTGATTTGTTGGTAAAAGGCCAACAAATTTTGGAACTGTTCTATTTCTGGAGACACATTAAGACCCAAAGAGAACTCCGACCACAGCCTGGCTGGCCAGTCATCGAGGTTGGGGGAAAAGTGGGGTAGCAGCCCTCCAAGGGGGCTGTCGTCTCTCTTCCTCGGGTGGAGCCCGACGTGTTCCTGAATGTCGAAGTCTGCTTCTCTCTGTAGATCGCTGCTAAAATTGACTCGCTTCCTCACCTGAACAACTCCGCGCCTCTGGTGGACCCCTCGGTGTACGGGTACGGAGTGCAGAAACGGCCCTTGGATGACGGAGGTAAGTGCCCGGTGGCAGCGGGCCCGCCAGCGAGTGCGGTGTGTCGGCCACTTCCCAGACAGCCGTCCCCTGCATCAGTCTGGGGGGACGGTGCGGGGGTGTTCAGGGTGGTGTTTCTCGGCCGTCCTCCTGCACTTGAGTTCCTGTCTGCCGCGCCAACACAGGGAGCTTCTTGGCGGGCTCGCAGGGAAAGACTTGGCCTTTGAGCACCAGCTGGGAAGTGATTGGCCAGTTTGGCTGGGTTTAGCCCTTGGTCTTTCCAGTACACGAGTAGGAGCCGAAGTTCCCACTTTTCTCCGAAGAACAGCTTGGTTTTGGTGCGTAGCTCTGAGCTTAAAGACAGGAATGGGGGTGGTGGCCTTTCTGCAGTCTCTCTGCTGGGTTTTCACTGTCCCATTGATAACAGGTTCTCTCCAGAAACCCTCACTTTCTTCCTTCCTTTCATTCATTCACTGTTTTGTTGGTTTATTTATATGCTCCATTCCTCGCCCTCCGCCAGATTTGAAGCCAGTAAGCACTGCCTCTCATCGGTGCCCAGGCAGAGTGTCCAGTACATGTGTTTCTGCAAGAACTTGGCCTTCCGTAGTCTTACCTTGTCTTCCCCAGAGTGTGGACGGGGTTGTGGAGTGGGCCAGATGGCACGTGAATGTTCACGTAATGGGTGGGCTGGTATGTTCTCTTCCTGTCCTGTCAACCTGTGTGTGTCCAGCCGCGAGTCCCCACCATGAACATATGTGCGTGTTTCTGTGATGTATTATTTTTTTCCTTTTTATTGAATTTATTGGGGTGACACTGGTTCTGGTATATTATCATGTGAAAAATCAAGGTGTACAAAAGTATGTATTCTGTTATCTCCTTTTCCAAAAAAAGGTGCATGTTTTTCTGTACGTGGAAAAAAATGTAATTTGGCAAGACCAGTGTCTCTGGTCTCCTTGGGGACTCGAAAAGATGAGAGTGCCATTGCTTTTAGGTGTGGGAACCATTTTGGAATAATTGTGTAGATTCACACAGTGAAGACTTGAAGGTTTAGCTTTTGGGTGTGAACCTTCTTGTCTGTGTAAAGAAACGGTTTACGTCTCTGGTTGCACGCACGAACATCTACTTTAGGCCGTCGGAACCGGGGTGGCCACCCAGGCTGCTGCTCCGAGACGGTGCCCGAAGTCCCTGCGTGTTTGACCGGTGGGGACGAGGCCTAGACCGAGTACGACTGAGGGCGTTATCTGTGTGTCTGCCTTTGTGAGAGGCTTTTACGTTTTTAGGGCAATTACGCTTCTCTTCCTCCAGTGAGACATCAGGAGAAAAGGAGCACCAAGTTTTCTGGCTCTGAACACTTACCTTGTTAATGGCCAGAGTCTCTCTGGCCCACGGCTTCCAGAAATTGAGATCAATACATTTCACAACTCTCAGCCTTGTTTTGTCAACGTGTAAAACTACATGCAGTGCATACTATTCACGGTGTCCTTTGCATGGGAGTAGCCAAATATTTGCAAACGAAACCACTGGCATTTGGCAGACTTTTTTCTCCCATTAATCCTTTGCATGTCCATTTGAAATTAGCAAAAGGTTCTGAACTTATTAATAAAGAGACCTAGAGGGTTAGCAGCCGTAGCCGGTACCTCACCATTAAGTCTAGAATCTCACTTGAAACTTCAGTATCATATTTTGTACTTTTACCTTTTTGAGAACCGTGATTTGTTTGTTTTGTGTGTCCGTCTTTCAGGGACTGTGTCCTTATAAGCAGAAATGAACTCGGTTCCCTTCCCTTCTCCTAAGCAGTGAGCCTGTCTCCAGTAGGCAGGAAGGACCTGGGAAGGAACCTTTCGACAGCATGCTGGGTCCCGGCCGCCCTGGGTGCCCATCTCCATACCAGCCCTATTTGAAGACCGAGAAACGCCCCTGCAGTGCAGTTGGATGGAGTTAATCCTGTTTTTTTGAGCACTACTTGAATTGCACAGATTTCCTCCAAGTTGGCCTCTTGGAGAGTCTGAGACTTGCTGTTTTGCCCGGGGGAACCTGGCTGTGGGGCCTGCCACGCCTCCCCTGTGGGCCGTCTTCTGGCCGAGCTTCCCCGGGCGACCGTTCTCCCGAGTCGGGATGAGTTGGGGTGCGAGTCGATAGATGCTGTCAGGACTGTGTTTACCGGGCAGCACCCGAGGCCACAGCCTTGCTGTTTGTGAGACGAAAGTTCAGAAACGCAGACAGACAGCACGCAGGAGTTCCGTCGCTTTTTCCTTTGCAGCAGAGATTTCCAAAGGCCTGTGGTTCTCTGTTTGGTTTGGCTTGGGTGTTTTTGACAGAAGTTCACCATACCACTTCTTTAGCAATGTGAACTTTCTAGCTCTTCTGTGAACCTGGGTTCTTTAACCTTTAGGAGGTTAAAGTTCGGTCCCCTGGAAGTTTTTGGAGGTGTTCCTTAGGTCTCTTTAAAAGTATTCGCACTCTTACAGCGACCAGAAAGAACTTTAACACGGGGTTTATTCGGGACACTGAGATACGCAGACAAGTGCGTGACCAGGAGGGTTAGAACAAGGGCCAGGCAGCAGAGCGGCGAAAGGATGGTTTCCGACCAGGAAGGGGTTTATTCCCTGGTGGTTGGTTTGGAGGGGTCTGTCGGACTGTGGGTTCCGGAGCCCACAGGAACCCCGCAGGAGGGGCGGAGCTCAGCCCTCGGAGCCCACCTGGGCACCCTGCTCTCCGGCTCTGGGCCATGTGACTTCAGCTCCCAGCACCTTCACTGTTGGCACCCATGCTTTCTAACAGTCTTTGAGATGTTAGAACCTCGTCTGGGAATCACCCTGCTGGTCTGGGGCGTGGCACCTTTCTGTCCAGTACTTAGTTCATGCCGCAACGGGAGCCAGTCTGACCGGTTCCGTCCCTCTGCTCTGAGACCCACTGCAGGTTCCAATAACCAGGGAGGTCCAGCCCAAGCTGGCGTCAGCTGCCCGCCCTTCTGCTCTCACGCCCCATTCAATGCTCTGCAGCCGCCCAGGCCTCTGATTCTTCTCTTTGCTCTTTCAGAAACATGGCCCCCATCCGGCTCCTTACCTGGCTGATCCCCACTCAGCCCGGAGGCCTCAGAATTGGTAGACAGACTTCCTCCGGGAGAACTGTCCTCACGCTCCTCTTTGACCTTCTTCAGTGCGTCACCCAGGTGCCACCCACCCCTTCGTCTTCACTCGCCTCCTGCTCTTCTCCCCCTTCCCTTCCTCTTTTTCAGTCACCAGGGAGTGACCACGCTCTGCTCGGAGCCTCTGAAGTGGCTCGCTTGTCCCTAGAGCGGATAGCAGGGTGCGCCGTGCCTGCCCCGGCTCCCGTGCCTGGCCGTAGAGCTGTTCCGCTTCCCTCCCCGCCTTACAGGACGAGGGACCAAATGCTGGATGTGCTGTTCTCCTTCTCTGTACCCTGTGATCCACGTTGACACCGTTTCCTGAAAAACAAGCTTCAAATTGAAGAGAATAGCAATAGTCAAGCAGTTCAGAACTGTGACTTTCAGAATCTGAGTCTGGCGTTGGCAGGCTTCTTCTTAAAGGGCCGTATGGGAAATACTTTAGGCCTTCAGGTCTCGTGGTCTCTGTGCCGCCTACTCAGCCCTGCCGCGGGCCCCGACAGCTGCCGGGGACGCCCGTAAACAAACCCGAGGGCTGTGCTCCAGTAAGTCCTCGTTTGCAGGAACAGGCAGCTGGCCCTCGGGCCCGGTTCCCCAGCCTCTGACCTCCAGTCAGCCTCGCCGGAGGGCTCACGAGAACGCGTTCTCAGTCTTCCGTGAGGGAGGCAGGTGGAGGGTTCCCCCAGCCCTGCTCTCCGGGAACAGGTCTCCCTGTCTCGGATCCCACTCTGCCCACCGTGACTGCTGAGAGAACCAACGACTTCTAATGCTTAGCCCAGGGTTGGCTGACCGGTGGGAGAGCCCCTCTGCCACCCCTTCGCGTGCTCCCCGTCCCCTTCGAGTGTCCAGGGGCAGTGAGAGCATCCTCTCCAGGTTCCCTCCCGGTGGAATTTTGGTAATTACAGCCTCTCGGGCTCCCGAGTTGAGCAGACCTCCCTCCCTCTTCCTCTCCCTGGGAGAGGCAGCACCAAACCAGAACTTGGGCGAATACACTGTTTCTGCCATTGCTGGGGGGGTGGGGGTGGGGGTTGCAGTATGTGAGCGACTTTGAAAACACGCCTGTCTTTTGTGCCAGGTGGCCTTTGAATCGACGCAGTCCGTTTTAGGTAGCGCCACACCTTCCGGTCCTGTCTGAGTGGTGTCGTTATGGGGTGAAGGAAAAAGAGTTCTTGGGCATACCATCAAATTAATTATTTACAGGAAAATTGGGATGGAGTATTTCTGCCGCCCTTGCCAAGTCCTGTTTCAGCCCGTGTGGCACAGGGCAGAGACGAGGAGTGAAAAGGAGTGAGGAGGAAAGACTTTGCAAAACCCCAGACTTTCCAAGAGGGAGGCAGGGCGGGAGGCACCTGTGCTGGTAGTGGTGAGAGGCGGCTTTCCACCCCGACTGGCCAGCTCAGGCGCCAGTCCTGGAGCCCCTGCTTTGGTGGGGAGCACAGTGAGGCCCAGAGGTACCAGTGCTTTCCCTGAAGGGGAGAGAGGGCAGGGGCAGGGCTTCAGGGGCAGGGGGTGGGGCTACAGCTCCCTTCCTGGGGGTTGCGGGGAGGGGAGGGTCGGCCTTTTACAGAGCGGGTCAAACAAATCCAGACGGGGTCAAGCAGCCGTGTTCGCGCTGGGGTGGATGAAGACCCAGCAGGGGCTTGGTGGGCACAGGTGGGTGTGCAGCAGCCCTACCCAGCTCTTCACTTCTGTGCACCCGTCCCTCCAACGGGGAGCTCTCTGAGACACGTGTCTGTGCCGCCGCAGGCCTTGTGCCCTTCTCCTTTCACTGCCCTTTTCACGTAGCGCGGCCCCTGGGGGGGTGGTGAGTCCAGCATCCCGGTGGGGAGTCCCAAGGTCACGACACATGAGAGTCTTGGTAAGAAATACTGTGAAGATAGCATCCGATTCTGAT